TTATTATTTAAAAAAATTTTGTTTGTGAATTTCATAGATACATATAATGGATTTTGATTAAGTCCAGTTCCCATTCCCTCCCCTCCAGTCCCTCCTATTCTTTCCCTACCCCTCTGACTATTCTCTCCCAATTTCATGTGTTCTTTTTTAAACCATTGAGTTCACCTAGTGCTCCCAGTATGTGCATGGATATAGAGCCATGTACTTGATCATGGGTAGCCTTTCAGGGGCCATATCCCTGAAAAAAACTGACTCTCCATCACACAGCAGCCATCATTTGCCACTATTCTCTCCCAATTTCATGTGTTCTTTTTTAAACCATTGAGTTCACCTAGTGCTCCCAGTATGTGCATGGATATAGAGCCATGTACTTGATCATGGGTAGCCTTTCAGGGGCCATATCCCTGAAAAAAACTGACTCTCCATCACACAGCAGCCATCATTTGCCAGTAGCTCCTCAGCTAGGGGTGGGACTTTATGACCACCTTCCTTCTCCCTTTTGAGAATTTGTCTGGCTTGATCTTGTGTAGGTCATGTGCTTTCTGTCACATCCATAGTAGTTCATGCCACCTGTGTTTTATCTCTTCTCCCTTAATAGCCACCCCTCTCCCCATGGCCCCTTGCTAGTTTCCTGACTTCTATGGGTACTCCAATTAATATACATATCTAAAGATTCAAAGCTGATATCCACAAATGAGAAGAGGATATGTGACATTTGTCTTTCAGGGCCTGGGTTACCTCACTCAGGATGATTATTTCCAGCTCCATCATGGGTCTTAATATTGAGTTGCTTGTAGTTTATGTGGTTGTGTTCTAATTTGACTTTTTGTTGCTGAAATCACCATGACCAAAAGCAACTAGGGGAGGTAAGGTTTTATTTCATCTTACACTTCCAGGATATAGTCCATCTTTGAAGGAAGTCAGGAACTCAAGGCAGAAATCTGGAGGCAGGAACTAATTAGAGACCATGGAGGAATATTGTTTACTTTATCTGTTTCCCTGGCTTGTTCAGCTGTCTTTCTTATATAGTTATACCTACCTGCTTAGGAATGGCACTGCCCACAGTGTGGCTGGACCCCTCCATCAATTAGCAATTAAGAAAATGCCTCACAGGCATGGCCACAAGCTAATCTGATGTAGAGGGAATTCCTCAGCTGAGGTTCCCACTTCCCAGGTGTCGCTAGTTTATGTCAAGTTGACAAACACCAACACAGGCTGACAGTATTATAATAAGTACAATAGGTATAATATTGAGAGAAAAAATTCCTGTGGGAGCTCATAGGCAAAGGAATGAAATCATAATTCTAAAGGAATAGTATGTAGGGTATGGTAAGTTCATTGTTCTAACACCAATTAGATGTCCTGCACTTCAGTTCTGGCAGCAACAAACCACAAGGTTTTGGTCAAGGTCCCCACACAGCACTTCCTCTATTTCAGATACCAACTGTAGTGTATGGGTCCAGTCTGTTTATAACTGGTGCACTATACAGTCAAAAATTCCCATAAGTTCCTCAGGTTCAGTAACTGAAAGCACTATACTTAAAATTACCATTTTATTATAAAGGATAAAACTCAGAAACAACCATATGGTAGCAATACTAGCCAAAGTCTGCAGGAGTATGGCAGGGAGAATTACCCTCCTAGAAATCATTGTGTTCACTTAAGGAATCTCCTCTGAGTACCAGTATCTAAAGTTTTTATTGAACTCAATCTGCAACATCCTCTCATAGAAGTCTTGCTAGTCCACAGTTCCAACCCTTTAATTATGTGGTTGGTCTTTCTGGTAACAAGCCCCAGCCTGTTGGTACCTGTGGTCCACCAGAATCCTATTGCTATCCTAAGAGACACTCTTAATCACTCAGGAACTTCTATGTGATTGAAGCTCTGTGCCCCAAAAGCACATTATTTTTATCAAGTAAGATAAGATTTCCTGGAAAATGTGTGGCATTTGAATGGTTGAAAATATGGACAGGTTCAAACATTTGAGTAGGGCATTTCAGGCTGAGATAGTAGCATTAGCAATTAGCATTGGGAGTAACAATATAAGTGCAGAGTTCAGTATATAAAAGCATGCCAAGTGCATATTTGGTGTTAGTGTAGGACACGTGAATAGGAAAAATAAATATAGAGTGGGCTTATCATTTCATGCTATTTATTGATCATAGAATTTTACTCTTACAGAGCAGAAGAAAGAAGAGATTTGCTCATGTTTTTCCAAAGCCTGCATTTTTTTGTGGAATGGTATGAATATCGTAAACACACATTTAAGCATTTCAAGGTAAAGTCTAATGTCTGAATTTAAATATGACTAGAAAATGAAGCTGGAGTTAAATTTGGTAACTAGGTCATAACATACTTGCCTTAAAGTTTTAAAGAATAGAAAATATCTTCACCGGCTTCAGAAATACACAATTATGTATAAAATGGGGGAGAAACTTCTATTTAAGTCAGCATATAATTCATATTATGGACTACTTTAATTACTTTGGCTATTATATTTTTAAAAGTATACATTTTGAAAAGTCAGTCTTTCTAGGGTGTATGAAGGCAAAAGAATAAATGCTAGTGTAATCATAGTAGGATTGCCATGAAACAGTAGAACTATAACTATAACTATAACTATACATATATATATATGTATATATGGCAGTAACACTTTTGGGGATATTATATGTTAATATTAAGTTTTGAAATTAGAAAGTATGAGTCTTCTCTCTTGGTTCTTTTCAGGCTTTTCAGTTTTTGTTCATGTAGGGTCTTTTATATTCCAAATAAATTTTAGAGCGGATTTTTATGTTTCTGCAAAATCCATCATTGGGATCTTTGTACAGATTGCATTGAATCTTGAGATTGTT